GCCCTTCGAAAAGTCAAAAATGGGGTCTTGCGTAGTTTCAAAAACATTACATAACGAAGTCACCTTAAAAAGTCTCAAATATACTGCATTCGATAGAGAACTTCGGGAGCTATCAGAATCACTATTTACATTTGATCCAGCTATTCGTTTTCATAGAAACAAAACAATGACAAAGGGGGGGCTATAATTTTGATATACCCTGTAGAAGTATAGTGGTGGACACAAGCTGAGAGTTGTTTTTTTTTTTAAATTTTCTTCTTGACGGGAATATCTCGCCAGAATCTAAAAAAAAAATTGTGCAGCTGAAAAGATTCTCTTGTGTGATTGATACGCCCGAAGGCTTCAACACAATCATTTAAATGAGGACCTCAAAATCAGGTTTCCCAATACGTCAAACACAGTAAAAGCATTAAAATCTTCTATACAAAGAAGAGAAAAATGCTTCTTAGTCCTCCTATAAATTGAATACAGCTCGATGAAGAAAAGTCATGCAGACATCGAAGACGTATCATTTTGCTCTGTTCAATGGAGTGTTGGTTTTTTGAAAATACTCATTCAAACAGTTTGGTTGAAGTCTTCGAGTCTATCAATCCTCATAGTGAATTCTTTCATTTAAAAAGAAAGGTTTATTTCAAATTCTTGTTAGCTATTATTGTCGAAAAGAAAACCTAAAAAATACAATTTCTCAAAACTTATGTTCGCCACCATATATATTTCATAAACTTAAAAGATAGCAGACGTTTGTATTGTTCTTTTTTTATATTTTGAAAACATCGCATCACTATAATGAAATCACTTTGGCACTCTATTTCTATTTGTATGTTCATGGCATTCATGCACGACGAATAGATACACATATACAGACACACGCTTACACAGCTGTGTTCGTTCTCATATTATCCTCATCCTTATTTTGCCTATATTTGTATCAAGAAATGAAGCTAATTGTTATTGCTTATTCTCCTAAACACAGATTTCATATGATGTAGCTTACATCAACAACATATAGATATTCGATAGAACGACATGTTGTTTTCTCTTTATTGTCGATAATTGTGCGGAAGAAAGTACATATAGATAGATCTTATTAAAATAACAACAATTGATATTTATCCTCTTTTTTTTTTGTTTATTTTGACTTATGTTAGTACAATGATATCATATATATAAATATATATATGCATATCATCAAAAACAGATGAAATATCGACTATTTGATTTACTTGAGAATAAAATTTATTGCTTTTCATGATGACAATCACTAAGAAAAAGAAAAAAGAAAAATGTTGTAAAATTGAGATTTCTTATCAATATACATCTGACCAATAGAATTTTTCTTATTGGTTATCATCATATTATTATGATATACGTGAAAAAAAAAAAGAAGAACAGGCATAGAAATGTACTGATTAAGTTCTTAAATAGAATTTATATTAGTTTTATTATTTCCAATAAGATTATCTATCGTAAATGAAGTTTTTGATGAACTTTGTTGTGTCGTTGGAATATGAGGCATTGAAACTGGTAAAGAAGATGGTAATATTAATGGTACATATCGTTTTATTGGAACAAATGGCAATGGTAATAGAGGAAATGATGGTGGTGCATGATGAAAATAAGTTGAATGATGTTGATTTAAACGTTTAAAACGTTTACGTCGACGTAAAAATGAACCATTATCAAACATATTTTCACTTGCTGGATCTAATGTCCAATAATTTCCTTTGCCTACAAAAAACAAAAATTAAAGATTTCTTTTGGGTTTTTGTTCTTCAGAATATATTAAGTCAGTGGCAGAGTCAGGATTTTTCAGCAGCTATGGAAGAGCTGAGGCTTCTCTGACTTCGTCACTGTATTAAACAATTATAATTACCTGGATTTCCTGGTGAACGTGGAATTTTCAAAAAACAATCATTTAAACTTAAATTATGACGTATTGAATTTTGCCAAGCTGGAAAACGTTCTTTATAATATGGAAAACGATTCATGATAAATTCACATATACCACTTAATGTTAAACGACGTGATGGTGACTGTAATATAGCCATTGTTATTAATGCTATATATGAATAAGGTGGTTTAACAATATGTTGTTTTGTTGATAATGGTTTTTCTTGAGAATTTTTATGTTGATCATCAATATCACCACATGAAGATGATATAGGTGAATGAGAATTTAAATCAATTGAAGGATTTGGTGAAGATGATGATGATGATGATGATGATGAATAGGAATAAATATGATGATTAGGACTAAGACTTTCAATATCATCGTGATTTGATGGTGATTTTGTCATTGATAAAACTAAAAATAATCGTTTATTTAAAGATTTATATTGCTCTAAATGAACTTTTATTCTATATATATATGTATATTTACAAGAGGAAACGTTTTTTTTTTTATCTTTTTTTCTTTACCCTTACAGACGAATGATTCGCTTGACTATTTCCGATACTAACTGTTTGCTGCTCATTTCCGTTAAACGAGCGAAAGAGAGATCGATTTATTATCGTCAATGTAAAAAGAAGAAGGGGAAAGAAAAAATATTATCGTAACGGCCAATCCCATCATCTCTTCTTATATGAAAGTATTTCTCTTTTTCTTTCTCTTCTCTTTTTCTTTCGTGAACATACAGAACCAATCAACGACTGAAAAAATTTTATCACAATGAGTTCGAATGTGTGTGTATGCGCATAATAAAATTTTGTTATTCTTACATTTTTTTTTCTTATTGTAGACGAACAAACGCTAAGTAAATATTTTGAGTATTCATGCAAAAATCTTTTCGTTAGTTTCTTTTTTTTCGAGTGTAATCATCATCATTACTATCGAACAGTAAGAAAGACAGCAGACATTTTCTTGTAGTGAAGTGAGAACAAAAAAAAAACGAGTATGTGTATTAAGGAAGCCTCAGGCTGTTACTTGAATAGATGCCAGTGATGATGTGGTAATGTGACCTTATCAATGTCTCGATATGTATATAAATTGATATTGTGATGCCAATGAAGAGCTACTCGAAGATATTGTCGATAAAACTACAAAAGAGATGGATAACCAATTGTAAACACAGACATTATTAACTCCCGGGTTGTAATTTTTATTTGTTTTCAAATTTAATTGATAACATGTTAAAATACTACTTGAATATGATGAAAGCTAAAAAAACAAACTCAACATTTAAATGCTTTCTTGTATTTGAAAATAATTCTTATTTGAATATTTAATTGTTGACAAAAAAACAAAACGATCGATTGATTATTGTTTCGTTTTTTTTTTTCGAAGAAAAGAAAAAGTGTCAATTTAAATAAGTATCTCAACAATCGATAAATACATTGAATAAATACTTATCTATATTGTTTTTCTCATAAAATCAATCGATTATATTTATTTTGTGACTTTTTTTTTTCATTCAGTCATTCTTCTATTCATATCGCATGTGTCTCTCATATAATTGTCCAATTGAACAAATCAAAAACTCGATTATACCATGTCATTCGTGCGTAAGAAACAAGCTCATTCACATTCTCTTTTCTTTTCTTTTGCTATTATTATTACCATTCTTTTTTTTTCTTCTCTTTATGCATTGACTAATTTTTTTTTGCTGATTATATTAATCCGATGTGTCGGCAATCTACTTGTTTATAAATGTATATGAGCAGGTAGTTATATAGTTTGTGTCGGAAATGTAATGTGCTGTTCACACATACACAATCATTTTGTAGTAAACACTCAAGAAACAGAATTGTTTTGAAGTGGAAAATGGAGTTTCTACATTGGCATAGAAAGAAAAGGAAGAAATCAATCTATTTATACACATATATATATTAGATCTCTTTCTTTTTTTAAATGAATGTGGTCACTTATTTCCTCGTCTATAACAGATGGATGGTTTATTATAAAAAACACAAAAAACAAGATTGAATAGAATTCGGATATTTGCCACACATATGTGGAAAGAGAGTTTAGTTAAAACAATTGATTCTCACTTTTCTCTGTTTTTAATAACTTCTCACAGTTCAATGATTGCTTTTATTTTATATAGATAAAAAAAGAAGTTACTAGATGTTATAATACTTGTATCAGTAGTCGACTGGAAAAGTACCATATGACACTGAAAAAAAAAAGGAAAATAATTGAATGTACTATTAAAGAGAGTTGTTTGTGATTGAGACTATTTATGAAATATGTTTTTATGTTTAAGATGATCTGTTTTCTAT